CTATCCGTAGTAATAGACTAGATCAGCCTGACCGAGTGTTCCCCGTCCTACCTGCCGACCGACCCCCCCTGACAGCTTCCTATATACTAAGTTAATCACGAAGTGATCATAGTTAATTAAGAGTGATTAGTGGTGATCAAATACAACCGATCGCCGTGGTCGTGATATTTGTAAGTAGTGATTAGCGTGATTAGTGCGTGATTGGTGAAAATAGTAGGACATGCGTGAGAGTCACGTGCGAGGCGCATGACGGCGCATGCGGTCGCATGTTAGGTCGTAACACACGCGCGTATCGCCTTCTGCTATATCCGCCTATCCTCGGCGACCTCTTACGTATAAAGGATCTAGTCGTTGAGGTTCGGCGAGCGCCGGGCCGGCGGCGGTAGCTATAGCTCTAGTGGACCGTCCTTGCGCGGCTGGTAGCTAGGAGGAGGCGAGCTCGTAGCGGGAGGCGTTACTAGCTAGAAGTACGACTAGGTGGTTACGTAGGGCTATAGCGGTAACGAAATCACCGGGAGCGATATATAGTACGTAAGAAGGGGATATAGAATAATATATATATATAAATCCGTAGACTAGGTTAAGTTATGAGAGGGGAAAGATAGACTTTTTTCGTATCGCTCTTTCTCTTATATTTATGCTAATACGATAAGGTCGGGATCTATCCTAGCGTGGTCACGGATATATAGATCCTCTAGAGATATAATAGGATATAGGGGTATTTAGGGGTAGTAGGGGAGGCGTGTCTTATAAAATGAGGGGAAGCGTATGTGATTGGGTGGGAGGGGGCAGGGGTTCCCTTTTCGCGCGTAAAGGGGCGAGGGAATACTAGGTCCGTAGGATAGGATAGATTATCTTCGTATATTAACGTGGCGAGTAAAGTTCTCACTATTAGTACTCAAGATCTATTCCGTTCTATCTACAAACTTGATAACTTTCCCACCTGTCTTACTAACTATAAGACCGCTCAACCCATCAACTAAAACGAACCGAAAGCGATCCTCGTTTAGAGCGCTAACAAGCAGAAAGTCCCGAATACGCCCTTCCAACCCGCAATCTGATCTCGAGACGATGCCGTCGGCGCTAGCACTAGACGACTCGGACCGCAGCAGGCGAATCTCTAAGACCACTTCCTGGGACGCCTCCCTCTTCTCCAAGATCACCTGCCACTGCAGGACCCCCTGCACCTCGTCGTTCAGGATCCTCTCCAGACCCTGAAACTCAAAGTAGTCCCCGTCCCACGCGAAGCTGAAGCGGCGATCGCGGCCCTGGAGACGGAGGACACACAAGTGGTCCCAGTCGCCGGCGCAGACTCTGTTTCTCGCTGTCGCGGGAAGACGGTGGAGGGAGCCAACGTCGCCGGTGATGTACCGCACAAGCGGGTTGCGTAACCTCGAGAGGGACGTCTGCGCAATCATGCCAATATGCCCATGCTCAAGGGGCACGGGCTTGATGCTACCGTCGGTGTCCTGGCAATCATCCTGCGGGAGAAGCGGAAGGATCTCGATAATGGTGTGCCGCGTATCAAACACGAAACTCTGCTGGTCGGCCGCAGCCACACTGTCGAGGAGGTGAAGACAGCTCACGGCGTAGGGTCCAGCCTCGGCACTGCCCAGTATGGAGAAGATCTGAACCGGGCCCAGCACCGAATGGAGGTACGCGCGCTGAGATGGCGTGAGCCCCTCGGACGTGTAGATGATCTTGTCGATAGTGATGAGCGCCCTGTCCTGGACAGAGAGGGTGGAGATGTAGTGCGTCAGCTGCACGACCTGGCTCGACTCGCCGCTGATAACGTTGGCATGGTATTGCCCCAGCAGCCTCACGACCTCTGCGGGCTTCATGTAACTCCCCGCGGCGAGGACCGACGCACCCGCATTCTCGAGCAGCTCGAGCGTGAGGTCCAGCGATCTATAAATCTCATCCATTTTACAACGTCAGCTATAGTCATGGCACCTCTCACCAATGTTATCTTTCTCGTCGACCGAAATCCCCCGGCGTGACGAAACAGAGCCCGTGCCATCGGGAGTAAGAGCGAGAGATAGTGTGTGAGTGAGGGTCTGCCTCACCTGTATAGACCGCCGCCCATGTGCAACGTCACGACCCAGTCTGCGTCGCTGAGGAGGCCCATCCGGCGGATGAAAGCGCCGAACTGGGCTCTGTGCCTGCGGTTCTCGTGGACATCCGTCGCGAAGAAGAGCGGATTCGGTCCGCTGCCACCACCGGTGACGCTGCTGTACACGCCCCGGCGAAAGGTGTTGCTGGGACTGGTATCGGCGATCAATCGCTGGATGGCGGTGTATCTAGGGACGTGAAGAGTAAGCACCTTACGCACGCTTCATTCGACCCATCGCAGCCAAGATAACGTAGCAGATACTATCTTTGGGGGTGAGAGAAAGCTTACAGATTCGTCTTCCATAATAAGGGCCGTGCTTGGAGATGACCTGAATCTGCTCCTGCTGCTACGTCGCTCTTCTCGATCACCTGCGTCTGAATGTCCCGCAGAGTCCGCGGATCGGGAGGGTACTCGGCCTCGGCGGCGTAGAAGGGGTGCGCGTCGGCGTCGGCTAGTATCTCCGACAACGAGTAGCCAGGATACGACTTGTCTTCCTCTTTCTTCTCCAAATTAGCCCAGCTGGCTAGCCAGCCAGCTACCTTACATGACCTGGTGGAGGGTGTGTGTGACATATTCTCGCTTAAAATCTTTTCTCGTCTGCGGAACAAAGAGGCAAGAGGGCTCAGTAGACACATTTCGCCTCGACTTTCATTGACGATGACTGAGGTCTGTTCACGGCCTGCCTTTACAGCCGGAACAGTGAGCGGCCTGCATATATAGAACTTGAAGGTGTAGTGTAGAAAGAGACGTCTCGCGCTTGCCACCCGTTCAGCTCTGGGTGCCGGCGCAAGTACGAGCCCGAGACAGACATGAACTTATGGCTAGGGATGAAATAGTCCAGTCGTCGTCTAATAGGCCAGGAAAGAGGAGGAAGGGGTGGATATCACGATATACAGGTTCGATGCAATGCCACCACTGCCGCTATGCTAGTCGCTTCTTCGAGGAGGGGACGGGGGACGGGATCGTTCCCCGGTCCTTGGCTTGCCTGCAGAATCGGCGACGCAACTGTCTAGCTGATCTGCAAGACTAGGGGTAAAGGAGGTGGGGAGGAAGTTGCAAGGGCTGACGTCGGCTTGAGAGGATTCGGATTCTTGAGCTGCCATATGATCGACCTAGTCAAGCGGGGTCTGTCTAATGTCTGCTTGCTTATCCTGCAGATAGAGGGGATGGTCTCCACACAGACTAGCAGTAAATTGATTCACCTCCTTTATTCAATACCATCCCTGCGCTACTAGCCCGTTCAGATATGTAGGGCGCCTAATTACAAGACTATGCATGCACGTCCCGTCTCGGACCCCTGGCGAATGACGGAGCAGATCCACGATCCCCCACAGCTGACTGCGACGATCCGGCCACCGCTGGCGCGCCACGTCCCAAGGCCCAACAGCCTCCCGTTGACGACGTGATACGTGCCGACCAGCGGGTAGCTGTGTCTCTCACCCGATGCCTTGAGTACCACGTCGTATAACCGTGGCTCGATGCGCCGCTGCACCACGCTCGACACACCCGCCTCTATGCTGGCGCTACGGGACAGCCGTTCGAGCAACGCGATCCAGTCGTCGGCCGTCATGTCGTCGCCAAAGACGATGCCTGCGCCCTTGCCCCCGCGGATGGGCTTCATGAGATAGCCGTCCCTGACGCTAGGGTCGGCCCTCGAGGCGTCGAGGATGCGCTGGAGCTCGGACGACCCCGGAAGCGCCGTATCTACCACGCCCCGCCGCAGCGTCGCGGCCTGGGTCCGCGTCAGGACGCCCCGCGCGACCAGGCGTGGTAGCTCCTGCTTGACGATGCCAAGCATGCGCTTGTCGTGGACGAGGAAGATGGTGCGCATGTCGTTGAAGCAGCGCAGGCTGATCTGGCGCAGCATCTCGGGCGCCAGTGCCGCGAGCTCGCGCTGGTGCAGCTCCAGGCCGACCTGGAAGATTTCCTCGACCAACTCGCCGTCGGGGGTGGTGATTAGCGCCGGGGTTGTGGTGTGCGGTGGTACTTCATTAGTATCCCTGCCCATGCCCTGGTCCCTGTCCCTGTCGTCACCGCCGCCTGACACAGTGGGCGTGGGGGAGACGAGGCAGCAGAGGCGGAAGCCACCCTGGCCGCCGTCATCGTTGCCGTTAGGGAGCAATCTGAGCTGGGCAGGGTCGATGATCCTGGGCTTGATGCCGAAGCGGCGCTCGACGGCGTCGATGAACATGTGGATGTCGATGCCATTCTCCTGGTCCTTGAGCAGGTGGAGTGGGCGGTCGGGCCGGAAGAGACTGAACAAGCCATCGAGGATCTATATGCGCATATTTTAGTAAATTTTTCTTTTTCCACGCACGCATAAGGAGTCAGCTGATGTAAAAAGGTTTCCCCATGAGGGGAGCGTGCAGAAAGAGTGGCCGGGGGGGCGGGAAGAGAGAAAGGGAGCAAACTTCTTACCTTGTCCGCATTAGTGGCACTGACGAGCCCTTCTGCTCCCGCACCGATTCCGGCCAGGACGTCATCCAATGCGCGCTGGCCGTACGCCTCGTGCATGAAGCCATTGAAGGAGAACCTTGCGTTGATCTCGGTAATACTGAAGTTCTCCGAGAGGACTCTGCCCCTTCTGTCTGAATCTCGATACTCTTCGACGAGAAAGTCGGGCCTCCACGAACCGAGACATGCAGTGAATTCTTGCAGAGTCCCATTGGCGACCTGGGCATCCATCCACTAGTAGTGTTTTCGTTTAGTTCAATTGGTGAGTGAGAGAAGAGACGAGAGATGGAGCAAACGAGAATATGCAAGGATGAGGGGGCCAATGCGCTGTCTGTTGGCCAGCGAACTCTGTGCTATGTGGACGTACCTTCAGATGTTCTTCCTCCTCAGGCTCGAGGGGCATCCGCTCAGGCAGTCGCGCCTCCTCGTCGGTCCACCACCGCTGGACAATGTCGATAATAGCGGCCGTCAAGGCCTCGTGGAGGGCCTCGAGCTGCCGCTGGTGGTGCTTCCTAATGAGGATAGGCCGCGGGCACACGGCTCTATACGAGCCCTTGTGCCACAAATGGGCGGCGCAGGCCGCGAGCAGGTTGTCCTCGAGCGCCTCGTGCTCCTGCCGATAGAGATCTGCAGCCGTGGCAATACCGTCTATGCCTGGCAGGAGGTTCGAGGTCGACGGGTCGACGAGCTGGTAGCCGGGGGCCTGCTTGACGAGATGGACCTGCTGGAGTTGGGTGGTGACCATGATGGAAAAGCAGCCGTGGTTGATCAAAGAGAGGTTCCTCTTTCTTCTTTCGGGTAGTTAGTCAGTCAACGAGGAGGATCCTCAAAGTAGAAGAAAGTACGGAGTACAGGCGCAAGTATTGTCTGCCGCACAGAAACATCTATTATCAGGACAAGATAGACAGACTCTAAAGGGGGCCTATTTATGTAAATCAACGTCCCTCCCCCCCTCGCCTTTGGTTCGTCTCTTCTGGAAAGAGTATCTTTGAAAGACGGCGCAGTCCGCAGGATGCATTAGTCTAGTCTCTGTCCAAGCGCTCCTAGGGTATTTCGTTCATTTCCAATGTATGTTAAATAGTGTTTAAGAACACGATAAACCAAATCACAAAGAAGCAACGGGGGAAACGCGCGGAATCTAGCTAAGATCCTAGCGTCAAAAGAGGTAGCAGGGGGGGAGCGGGAAGAGTAGGAAAAGAGACTCAGAAGAGGAGGGGTCGTGCTGCTAGTATGCATCGATCGGCCTTGTTTTAGAATAGAGACCTGCATTGGATAGCATATACTCGTGCCGCGCCCCACCTCGTATTAGGTGGCACTAGACACACCGACGGCTACTTTGAAGATCGTGATATATTAACTCCCTCAAATATAACGAATACTGTTTTCATTATAAATTTCAAACCTATTAGCAACTTAATTCCTACGCTATTCACGCGCCTTTTTTACGGCTCCCTTAGTATTCTTTTTATAAGTTACGCAGCTTATGTTAAGTTATTTCTGTAACTTGTTAGGCCTTCACTAAGGTATCTTTGTCGCGTGAGATTACTATATGACGGGCTTCTTTTATTGTTAGTGTTTCTATATTAAAGAGGTTTTTTTTTTATCGCCCGGCATTAGCGCTATACTTGTTCGGTCTTCTTAGCACCTAAGAGGTCCCTCTTTACTTAAACTAGCTTAGCGGATATTATAAAAGATACGCGCATAAAACAGTCTATATCCCAGGGGAAGTCTTCATTTAGAATATCCACTATCTAAAGTACCACGCAAATTTAATCGGCTACCTTACTAATCCACCGCAGTATAATAAGGGTCCTTAAGTATAATAAAATATTTTATAAGATTAGTAAGATTAAGTCTATTTAATAGCGTTGCGCCCTATAATAGATTAAACTATAAGATTCGGGTGAATATAGTGTTTTGATCTAAATTAGCTATAGTTAAATAGATTTGAGTTAATTTGTAAACTATATATAAGATATTCCTAACTTACCCGGTCGGGCTGTAATTTATTATAGTAAATAATAACCTAACGTGGTCCATTACTAAGCGACGCACACCCCTAAGCGACGCACTTTTCCACGACTATAAGATAAAGAATATTAATTATATTACTATAATAACTATAAAACACCGAAACTATTCAGACTTATATATATTAGATACTTCTGTATCTTTCTAGCACGTGCGCGTATTATACCTAGGCTTTTTATACTTACTATAACGCCGTGGAGCCCTCTCTATCCTAGTCCGCCGACTACTATTCTCACGTGTTTTATACTCTACTTATTCCTATACCTCTTTCTAGGCTAGTATATTATATATATCTCCTATAGTAAGTGATCCTTTAAGATATATATATATTTTCTTAGCCCTCCGGTGCTTATTAAGTACCTTACTTACCTTCTATAATATATATATCTTAGCCGTTATAAGGGTAACCGAGTGCGCTATACTTACGTCCTTTTCGTAAGCTAGTCGATAGTAGTAAGAATCGGTATTAGCGAGCTTCCTTAGTAACGGGTAATCCGATTTTTAATATATTTAGATTACGAGACTGCCTTTATTAGGTTCTATAGCGTCTAGGAGCACTAAGGATCGGTAGCTACGGAAAGGGGACTAGTTAATATTAGTATCCGTAACTTAATATCTAGCTTAGATATTATAGCTTTAGTGTTGTGGGCTAAGCCCTGTTGGAACAACTTGGTAGCTCAGATTGAGTCTATCTAACGATAAGGTAGGAAAAGAGAAAGAGGAGGGAATTTACGGTCCCCCTTTCTTGTGAAGACCCTGCGAGGTCTGTGCGTCCTCGTGGGCACGCGTCACGTGCCTGGGTGAACTGGGCCGGGTCTTGTACCCAGCCGCTAGCAACTGGTAGAACCGTAACATTTAGGGTTAAAAAGTACTAGGCCTATACCTCTAAAACCTCCTTTATTATTACTCTTTATTATAGCGGTAAAGTAGGCGGCTTTAAAGGCGAGGAAGAACTCGACCTTAATAATATAGTTAATATACGCTAATAAAATACTTAATTTCCCGATTATATACTTTCTTTAAGGCACTAAAATACCTAATATCGAGTAGCTAGGTTAGATAAGATAAGTAAGTAGGTAGGCTAATAATAATAATATTATTCTCTTTATAGAAAGCTTCGAACTAGGCTGACTAGTAGCTCTTATACCTATCGAGTATAATTATCCGATATATACCCTTTATATAAGACTTTATATACTTATCGAAATATTTAATCTATCCGAGGCCGGTCTTATTATCTATTTACTTATTAGAATTTAGTTTAATAGCCTAGTCGAGTAAGAGGCCGCCCTTTATATACTAGTTAGCGAGGTAGTATACGCCTTAAATAATAAGAAATAGCGGGAGGTACTACTTGTCAGGGGGGGTCGGTCGGCAGGTAGGACGGGGAACACTCGGTCAGGCTGATCTGGTCTATTGCTACGGATAGGCACTCCTTAGGTAGGGCAGGCTCTATATATAAGACATAGCTCGAAGAGCTATAACAGAAGACGGTCGGGATCGCGATAAAATACAAAGGCAGGCGCGAGTTTATGTGACTGCTAGGTGCAGGGTGGGTCCCCGCTCTTGACTAGCTGTGATAATACGCCCCCTTTTTAAGGGCGAGCTCCTGCGAGTATTTATTAAGGACTAGGTTTATTGGGATATCGGCGGTGGTAGTTAGCGACGATCTGTTACGCGTTCTTTAGATACTCTGCGGGTTCTTCGGTCGGATTATTATACCTAACCTACTTTATAGTATACCGTAATCGTGAGTTACCTCGGCCTCTTCGTTCCTAGCGGGAATCTACTATCTCTTATACTATAAACTCTTTAGCCTTATTAACTTTAATAGGCGGCGGGGGTGCGATACGTTATCCGGGATAGGGGTTATTAGTAGCGGGTCGGAGTAAGTTAACGTAGAATATAGGGTATACTCTTATACTTATAGGTAGTTCTAGTTTATAAGTATACGGCGATATAGCTTTCTCGACCTTTAAGGGGCCGATATTCTTTTAGTCTAGTTTTTTCTGCGGCCGTAGGGTTCGTAGGTTTCGGGCGTCTAGCTAGACTAAGTCTCTAGTACGATACGTGCGGGTAGGTCAGCGGTTCCGGTTCGCTTAGTCTTCGTAGCGGGCTTAGGCGGTAGTTAATTCGGACTATAGGTGTTTATTAATCTACTTTATCTTACGAATAAAGCTTTCTATATCCCGGGAGGCGGGAGTATTAGCGGTAGGGATATCTGGTTCGAACCCTATCCGGGGGTAAGAGCCGTAGTTAGTAAAGAACGGCGATATACTAGTAGTCTCGGATTTCTAGGAGTTAGTAGCGAATTTAGCTAGCGGGAGCTAGGTAGACTAGTTGTCTTATAGATAAGATATATAGGATCGTAGGTATTATTCTAGGATAGTATTAAAGCATTCAGTCTAGCCGTCCGTTTGTAGGTATATAGCGGTTAATAATAGGCTCTTAATCTATAGCTATTAGTTCAAGCTCTTCTAGAACTTAGAAATAAACTAGGGGCCTCGGTCGGATATAATAGTTAATAGTAGGCCGTGTAGCTTTTAGATATAGTATAGGTATAGACGGGCAGTCTTAGCTAAATCGTAGGTTACTTTATAGGGTATTAAGTATCTTATCTTCGTTAGACGGTCTACTACGACGAGGATTACGTTATATCCCTAGCTCGGAGGTAGGTATATAATAAAGTCTATTAATATGTCTCTCTAAGCGCGTTCGGGGATCGGTAGCGGCTTTAGGACTCTTTAGTAGGCGTCTCGGGATAGGTTAGACCGGCGGTAGGTGTGATAGTTCTTGATCTATCTTTCCACGTATACTAGTATGCCTGGCTAGAAGTAACTTCTGGATAGGATATCGTAGGTGCGGGCTCGTCTAGGGTGTCCGGTAACGGGTGACTTATAATAGCGGCGGAGTAGTTTAGCCTTTAGTTCGTCGTGGTTAAGGATATATAAGCGGTCTTAGAAGTATAGGCGGTTATAGTTCTCGGTATACTTAGATAGTATAATACGGGTATAGCGTTACTTACCTTTGTGGATCGCTTCTTAAATAGATTCTAGGATTTTATTAGCGGTATAGCCTTTATTAAAGAGGTCGGATAAGTTAGTAGGAAGTTCGGTTAGTAAGCGAGCGGCGTAGAACCTTACCCTCGGGTCTAGGTTCTCTCTCTTTAGTACTATCTAGCTCTAGTGGAGAAGGCGTTTATCCCCTTCCTTTAGGAGATCCTCTAACCTCCTAGTTAAAGTATCGGGCTTAGCACCTTACTTCCCGGGTCGGTAGGTAATCTAAAAGTTAAATCGTGATAGGAACTTAGACTAACGGGCTTGTCTTTGGTTTAGTAGCTTCGTTATAGTAAAGTACTCTAGGTTATGGTAGTCGGTGATCACTTTAATCGGTAAAGAGGCTCCCTCTAACTCCGGGCGCTATTCCTCGAAGTAGCGAATTATAGCTATTAGTTCTTTATCGTAGATCTCGTAATTATACTTAGTAATAGTATACTTCTTCGAGAAGAAAGTAATAAGTCGTAGTATCCTATTATCCCCTACCTAGGATAGTACCCTAGCGGAGATATAGTCGGAGGCGTCTATCTCTAAGATAATATTCTTTTCTTAGTTAAATAAGGCTAGTATCGGGGCGGTGCTAAAAGCGGTTTTTAGGCTTTTAAAGGCGTTATAGTAGTTAGTAGTCTAATAAAACGGGACTCCCTTTCTAGTTAGG